GCTTTTTCCTCTTTTAGTTGAAAGGAGGTAAATGAAACATTATTAATCTTGAGGTATTTAATGACTGTTCTATAAGATTCAGGGCTATATGTTTGGAGTTTAAGTCCTTTGGTAGAACTTTTAAAATCAAAGCCGGTAGCATCAATTAATTCGATGATTTTTGCACAGAATTTGTTGTAATTTATTTATCTTGGATAAAGATAGGAGGTGGTTTTGAAATTTTGTTTTCATTATTTGATTCGTTAGTGGCAGTTGAATCCATTGGTTCATCAACGGTAGCAGGAGCAATCAGAGAAAAACGATTTACTGAAATAAAAATGCTTTTGTCAGGTGCTTTTTTAGGAACAGGAGATGCGTTATTTGGAGATCTGACGTGTTTAGATAATGGTGGGAATGTTTGCCAGCCAGATTCGTTATCAATGAAGTCAGAGGGGAAATTGCCACCGGTTTGATCATTTAATAGCTGGTTACTGATAATTAACGGCGGAATAGAGTTCTTTGCAGATTTTTTGTTATTAATTATTAATTGAGGTTTTTTGGTGATAGGAGTTTATGGACAACAAGAATTACTCATAATGATTTAGACAAAATATATTATGGGCTGGCCTTGGAGAGAGAATGTTTAGATAATTTATAAATTACCAGCGGAACAGGTACCGCAACAAGTGCTTAAAACGAAGACGTATAAAAACAACACGCTAACGAGAGCTGATAAAATCAGTGTGCAAGACAATTAACGTTTGGACTATGCGACGTCTAAACACGAACTGGTGCATAAAGTAAAAAACAATTTTTAAAACTATAATTGAAACTAGAAAATCTGAAAACTCGTATTTAAAAGTGAAATGGAAACCAATAAATTCAAAACCAAAAATCAATATCAATATCGAAACCACAATTTATCATTTCGGCTTCAAGTCCTGCGGTCTGCATAGAAGTGGATTTATGAACCCACTGATTTCAAAGGTTCTTATATGAAGGCAATGATCTACTGTATCTCTGTATTGAATGTTTTTTTTTTTTTAATCCATACACGCATAAAAATAGTAATGTAGTTGTCAAACACATTATAAGATTATAGGTACTTTATAAGGTATGTTATGATATTATACGCAGTAAGATTAACTATCATAATCTTGTAAGTTGAGTTTTTAAATTCATTTTAAATTTAAATTACATTGAAGATGAAATAACCCTAAGAAATGGTTAAAATTTGAGATTCTTGAATAGTTTTAAATTGATTTTACACCGTTCTTCTAAGATGCCCAGGATACTAAACAATCGGGATTATTAATTTTTATAAAAATAAGTATGAAATCTCACTAGACATTTAAACACTAAAACTTGAGCTTCACACATTTTACTGGCCTAACGCTTTAACCTACCTACCTACCTAACGGAACTATACTTAGAATAAAACAATATATATCAATAAATTGGGAAAAGAAATGTCTTAAACTAATATAATTCCCACCACGCTGTGTTTGTGAAGAAATATAAAAATCTTCATGCATTTTAAGTTTAAGTTAAGCTTTTAAGTATTAAGTATACGGCCAGGACTCAGGGGAGTTGTAAGCTCTGTAGTCACCAACCAATTTATGTGAAAGTGACCATAATTAGGTAACATTGTAACATTCAGTATATTACAATAATATATTCAAGTGTATGTTGGTTTATTACTTCAGTTGTTCTTTTTCGAAACAGATTGAATAACACTTGAATTGGACGAAAAAAAAATATTATATTTATAACATGTTGTGTATGTCGTACACTGTTTGAGATAACAATACAATAAAACCGACACCACCAATATAACGACGTACTTTGAATTAATTGATCATTCTCTTMCAAGGTAAATTCAGGTTATACAGCTAATAGTACAGGTATCAAAAATGACCGGATGGCTCATTGTATCAAACACCGGGTGAATTGGGCAGATGGTTAAATAAAGATTATCGCACGTGTCATGACCTCATAACCGACTGCGTKATCAATATAGAGAGATCGTTATACAACCTATAGTTTAGGTAGATTAATTGCGATTTTTATGGTACTTTCGTACTACCTAAATGGTCAAGTTAAATAATGGAAATGTTTAATATTTGAGAACCTTTTCGCCAAAGATTATATATCGAATTGAATCAAGTTTTAATCGTACAAATTCAGCATTATTAACGAGCAACAAAGTGCTGCTCAAATAGTTACTTACCGAGTTATGAGATTGATAACGAGGTGTGATAATAAATCAAGAATATACTGATTGAATGTTAAAATGTTTTTATTTAAATTTTCAAGTTTTAAATTATTAAACTGTTATATTCCAACTAACCAGAATATTTTTATTATATTTGATCACAAGTTTATATTTTAAATGGTGTGATAGTGATAATGTAATATTATATAATAAAAACGTTGAAGAATGTGTTAATAAGAATAATATAAATTTTGTATTTCATAGTTTTAGATTCTGAACGAAGTGATGAATGTATTGATTTTACAATGATATGTGTGTTGTTTTTTT